CACCCCGTGAACTATTGAGCTCTTTTTCATACCTTGTGTCGTCTGGTCGTATATGCTTTTGATCGTATTTATATGTTCCGACGATTGGTGCGGGTGTGGAACCGTTTCTTTCATTGAGCGTACCAACTAAAACTCTTTTGGTCGGGGTGTCGCGAGTTCAACACTATAGAGACATCTTAGGTTTTCTCTCTGGAGCCACGGTCAAGATGTTGCGATCTTTATTAACGTTTCGGCCAGTCGCCTTCGTCAGAGCCTTAGATGTTGAAGAGAAGACCGTTTAGAAAAAAATGTGTTTTGTGTGTCTGTTTCTATGCCCGTTTGTGCGTCCTCCCGAAAGTCACGTAGGCACGATCAAGAGCGTGAAGATCACAAGAGCGGTGCCACCTATTTACACACGGGTAGCAGTCTGCACTTGCGTATTGATAGCAACTACCGTAACCCTACGCTTACTTTTATTCAATTTCCAGGACTAATAGTTTGTTGATTTCGTGTGTTTGAGGAGTTGCTTTAGTTAATCAGCGATTCAACTTGACCGAACTGTTCTAACAGGAGTCCTGGCTACACATATCTGCAAGCATGTGGTCCTGGAACTACTAGCGCTGCTTTGCTCTGCAGCCGTGAAGCTAGCTCTAGAGACGTAAATTGAGGTTATAGCTGGTGAAAAATGTGCTGCGAATCAGAATTGTCACTGGATATTGTATTCTGGTTTCACTTTTATGATTTGAAGCAGTGCGGAATGGTGGTGAATGGGTCTACGCGTGTTAGCATACCAAGGAATTAATACAGAGTTACCTATTACTCGTAGGAAACCGTAGGAGGGAAGGATCATCGGGTTGGGCAAGATTTAAGCTTTTCGCATGAAGTAATCATCTCACCTACTCCTGTGATACTACCCTCCTAATGCTTAGTTAAAAACTGCACCCCCTGGCTTAGACCGCATAACAGCTCACAGATGAACGCTGCCCATCCTTGTTATACTATCGCCTTTAAGAATGTCCCCTCCCCCCAACAAATTTCCACTCGATGGCTACTCGGTAAAGTGCGTGAGTTGAAGGCCGAAGAATGTTGTGCCGATTTTTTTTTTGTATAGCCAACGAGCAAACTCATAATAGTGTGTAAGTCATGGCATGAAATAACTTGTATGTGTAGTAGTATGTATTGGTTATGAAGTCCGGCCAGCAATTTTGACTTTGATAGTGGCTGACTTACGGATGTTTCTCCTCTTCCTTTTCTTCTTCCCTATTGCTAAATGCAACGAAATTTCTAATCCATACAAACAATATTAGTTCAGCTGAGACTTCCAGACTTGGCAACAGCCAACGATTGGTCAACATCAAGCAGTTGACGGAGGTGCGAAGTGATTCAAACTAGAACTGATTGTGCGTACACTCATTTTATAGACACGCAGTTGGGAACTGATTGAAATGAAGTGAACCAAGATAAACCAAAACCAAATGGACCAAAATTATAACCCTAATTTACGGCTTTAGTGTTAGCTTTACTGTTGCAGAGCAAAACAGCGCTGATAGTTGCCGACCAGGGCTACATGCTTGCAGATATAGGTATCCTGGACTTTCTTTAAAACTGTTAGGTCGATTTAATTGAAGAGTTGAGCTGATCGACTATCACAAGTCCTCAAACACATGAAAACAACATAACAACCTATCCTCAAAATGAATAAAAGTAAGCGTAAGGGTACGGTAGTTGCCATTAATACGCAAGTGCAGACCGCTACCCGTGTGTAAATAGGTAGCACCCACAGGAGCGCGGTGAGAGAACAGTTATGGTATGAAAAGTCAACCGAAGCTCTTTATATTGGTCTGTTGATTAATATCCAAACTATTTATGACGTCACAGATAGAAATCACTACTCGCCTCCCACGACGCAGAACAAACAAACCCGTAGGAACTAGAAATGGAAACAATTACACGATCACCTATTAGTGTCAAGAGATCAATATCCACAAAGCAGCATCAGATCGTTCAAATTGGGTATTACGTAATGGGGAAACGGTTATGAAAGGGTAGTCAACCGATACTGTTTACACTGGTCCTCTAACAAGTCGTAGGTAAGCGGTAGTGGGAATGGCATGGAGCACGCGTTAGCGTGCATAGCCCAACTGGTACTGTGATAGGCTATGTTTTATGGTTTACTTCGAATCAATGCTGTCGACTTAAGGCCGACATTTGATCTACTTCTTCTCAGACCATTCATTACTTCAATCTTATTTTGGAAAGATCTTGCAAACTCCGCCAAATCGCCTCAATGAAGCTTTACTATTTTGACCTGATTTTTTGTTAACTGCTGTTATTTTGCTGCAGTGCGCGATCCGAAATTTTTACAGGTTGGCGAGTTGTGGACAAAACTACGGACTCGGACGGAATTCGACACCGTACTTGTGCCACGCGGGCCTCCTGCCTCCTTGCCTCCTTATGCCTTACACTACGCGACCCCGCTTGCCCTTGCTTTCTTGATGGCGTACTGCGGAAATAACAGCAGCTAGCGAATCATCAACTCAAAATAAGCTTTAATAGAGAAACCTTACAGCTTAACGATTTAAAGATGATATTTGCTGAAGGGCTCACAGCGTTGTATGTGGTAGTGGTGGTAAGCTATGGCATAAAAGCAATTGAGAAGGCGAGGGCAAGCTGGGTCCCACAATCAGATGAGTGGTGTAAGGGATACAGCGCACGGTGCCTGGATAGCACAAGTATGAACTCGAGTGCCGCAGTTTTACTCATAACTAGGCTGTCTTGCGTGAATAACATAATTTTGTTATCTCGATATTTTTGATCAAGTTTTCAAATGAGCTACGCCATCTTTTGAGAAGTATTCTACATTTTTGTTAAGTATGCATTATAATTTCAGATTTTCATTTGTGGAGAAGGGTTACTGTTAATTATTCAGGCCATGGTGAAAGTTGATGCAGTGAAGCTGAAATCTCCAAATCCCAGGCAAAAAAAGAAGCCGAGGAAGAAAAAGGTTGCTCATGAAAACCCTCCAAAACCTTCACATGTTATCGGATCGCATTCATTGGAGAAAGGGCAACAAGAGTCATTTGATCCAGTGTGCAAGCAAAACAAGGTGAATTTTCGAGCGGGGCAGACTGCAGACATTGTTAGCAGCTTTCAGAATATCGGTAAGGTGGAAGTGATTCCACCAAAGAAGAGGGACCATTCAAATCGATGTGCTCACGGGATTGACTCCACAGAAGGTGCGGCTTTTCTTTCTTTGCTTTCCATCATATTTTTCACTACATACCTTTTAAATATTTGGTTTGGTTTGCGCAGGCTACTGCACGTATAATACTGTTGGTTTAGCAGTTGTTGGGCATTAAATCCCACTACTGAAGCTACTGAGTAATATTCCTTCTCGCTATTCGTCTTTTGAAGCAATATCCCTTGTCGTAAAACTATAAGTAGCATGCTTACATGGCCTATTTTAGCCTCAGTAATAAGATCCTCAAATGATGCTGGTCAAAGCGCGCACTATAGCGAGAATCAAAAATTGGGTAACCAAATGTGCATCGTTGAAAACCAACGCTACTGTCATAGGCTCGTGCGCCCTCTGAATGTTACTCGATGCCCATCCGTTCGCGTAACGCCTATCCTGCTCACTCATCATAAGAAACGAACCATTTCCTAGGGATTTTCGGGCTCATACAGGAGAATGCGGAACTGCCTCATTGGGTGATCCAGTAGGCGGCTGCAGTATTCAGAGGATTTCCATTTGGAGTGCGGGCCTGGAACGGGTCACTACAAAGGAACCAGAGCTGTTCTTATTAGGACTACAGAATTCGACTTAAAGCTCGTGTTACACAGTGCTCGTAAAATTGTTTTTTCCTCGTTCCCCACAACTTGTCATCAAGCGTCCTCATTAGCGACCGGTGAGCCGATGCAGACGAGTCCGCTATGACCCGCTGCGAGGAGTTTCGGAGCCCGAAGCGCGCTGCAAAACGAGATTGTGGAACCAAAGGTCGAAACCCTCTTCATATCACATATGACCTCGTGAAACCTATCACATTTGTCCATACAGTCATAGGGTCATTGCAGCTTGACGCCTTTGGAGGACCCCTCAAAAATGCGTCGAGATGTTTTCGGGACTACGACAGGGTTTTTTTTCAATCTCTTAACGACCGCATGCGTTTTGAACATTATCTTCTCCTAGAATTACCTAGTAGAAACTTACTAGACTCTGAAGGAAATTAAGTCTTCTTCAAATCTTCGTATATGTAGCGGGTTCTGCTTGGTCATCAGGTGTTAACTGAGAGCGCTTAAAGTGGCATCGGGTCTTTTCGAGAAGACTAAAGAAGTTTTGCTTCAACGATGAAACGTGGATGTGTTTCGTTGTGGATGCGCGGACGTGGTCAACAGACATCTGTCGCGCATCCAGCATTGTCAGCGACGAAGTCCAGCGCTTAAGCGGACCAGTAACGCTGCGTTTCCAACGTCCGTCGCTGTTTAAATGCGCCCAATTGAGAGGCTGGATTGTTTGGACAAACTACATGATTCAGAAACGGCGTTCTATGAGCTTCGTATGGGGGACATCCACGCGCCCTAATATTAGTGACTGCGAAGGGCCGCATCAAACGGCACACACGCCCTCAAATGGGTCGCCGAGGTCGGAGGAATGGCTTGAGCGAGTTTGCCACCGTAGAATTTTTGTAATGTGTAGGCGGCGCCTACATGTTAGGAGCAGCGTCAAAGTGTTTCTACTCTCAAGCTTCCTGACGTAGGCAATCATAATGTAATGTAATGGTCCTGAAGTTCATATTTCGCGTTCTAGTGATCTTTATAAGGGTACATATCTCCCACATCTTATTTCGATATCTAGGATCAAATGGTAGACCTTCATCTTTACGCGATCATGAAGCTGGTCAGTTCCAGGAAATCCTTGAGAAAATTGCTGATGTTCTTGATGTTCGAGAGGTGCTGTCATTTTTTCTCAAGCCATTTCTTNTTCTTATATTTCGACCATATAGAATGTATTGATGTTATTTTATTTCTTTGAGCCTAATTCTCCTTAATTTTTCACTGTGATACTCATGTTCAGGCTCGGAAGTTTGTCAATGGAGAAGTGGTCGCTGGGAGAATCGATCAATCTGAATTCAATTTGATAATGCAGAAATGGCGAAAGCTAAAACTTAAGAAGGTTAGTCTTCTCAATCCTTTATTTCTTGCAATCCGATTTGTTAGTATCTTCGACTGCATATACATGGTATTAGGTGCGAGCAATGCAGAGTGATAAGGTAATGGAATTGGAAGGAACGCTCAGCGACATTAAGGTAGAACGATTTCTATACTTTTAGCTGACATGATGCTTCATTCTATAAACAACTCTGAGTTGAATAATCTACTGTCTTTACTAACTAGTAAGCATAACCCGAAGAAAACCTTTTCGACCATTGGCTATCAGATTTGTTGTGGGGCTGTAAATTGAATGCATAAGCTAAATTTTGGGCAGCCTTTATGGGTACTTGTTAGATTGATTCCTTTGCTTTTTTGATTTTTGATTTCATTAAGTCAGCCACAGAAAGCTACACATCAGGAAAAACCTTTTTAACTTTTCTTCTCTTTTTAGAGAGCTGTGAGCGATTTAGTTCGTGGAAATAAGCTCAAATCTTGGGAAGCTGGCGATATCATAAAGCGGTGGAAGAACCGAGAGAGGCGTAGAATCGCTCGTCAAGTTTCCAAACAGACGTGCGTCGGATTTTTTAGTTCTGTGTCAAAGTGTTGTCTTGCGATTAATTCAGTTTCCCCCAGATTTTTGATAGTGGGTTCGATCTTTGAAGTCACAAAAATGGGCCAATGACTTCATTTGTCTGTATCGACTTCTACAGTTTTTAATTTTCGAAAGCGCTGGAGGAAAAGGTTTAACAGTCCGTGAAAACTATGATAAGTATGAGTGTAAGTATGTCGTATTCAGTCTTACTGTTGTTCTCAATTTATGTTACTGGCCAGGATAGAATTAAGGGCTTATCTTTTGGTGGTCTGATCATTCGTAAAGTAACTCATAATATTGTTTTGCAGATAACGTTAACCGAGATAACGTGAAGGCGGTGCAGAAATTAGCTTTTTTCTGCAAATTCAAAATATACAGTAGCGCTCAAAAGTCTTCGGTGAAATGGTTCTTCAGCCGTACTTTTCAGTCGTAACTCCGTTCCCTGCTGGATCTAATCTTGCGAAATTTCTACATTTAGAGCGTGGATGTATTGTGAATATTTACCACTATTAACTTGCAATCTGATCGTGTTCCAGGTATTCCAAAGAGCATGAACTCAAAATCGACTGAAAAAATGGATGATGGTCCTTCTAGAATTCCTTTTCTTTTGTCATGTCTAAAGTGTACGAGCGGTAACGCCGAACACAATAGATGAGAAAAACGCACACAAGGGGCGAATAAGTGCAGACGTCTACAACTTTACTTTTAGCAAAATCTGCTACCGCAACAAACACCTTGCTCTTTCTGTGGATATTGCAGCTTTGCAGTCAAATAGTGTTGGGTAGGGTGAAATATGCTCTGTTTGAACATATCTAAATTTTGCGCAATTTGGTCTACTAGGAAAAAAGTTATGAACGAAAAAGCGTCGAAGCATTTCACCGAAGACTTTTGAGTGCTACTGTATGTGCCTCGCTAATCTTCTTCTGGTACGCTTTGAGGCTTGTTCTTTAATATCATACTCTTGATAATCTCATGCCATAGCTAATCCACAAGTTTGGTGCGTCTATACGTATGTATGTATGTATGTATGTATGTATGTATGTATGTAT